CAGTGAACACCAGAATCGTGAGGATGTCTAACAACCCATTCATTCAGATGAATACTACCGAAGAATATTCTGTTGGCAAACATTTTGTCGGATTTTTTAATGTATATAAAAACGATGACAAAAGCAATGCTGAGGACAAGATCTATGGCGTGACATATGATTCCCAAACGAAGACTTCAGACATTTATGAGTATAATACCGTCGACCATACCCTCGAATATACGGCAAGTGTTAATGAAAACTAAAATACTTTTCAAAACTTATATAAAGTAATTGTTTTGTTTAAAGGGTAAGAATTTCAAACAATTCATGGGATGTCCCGGAACTGATGAAAGCGCTTCACCCCTCACTCTTATAGTCATAATCTTAGTGATAGCCGTTTTAATCACTTGTTTTTGTGTAATAATAGTCTTGTTTTGCAGATATGTTATCCTTTCAAACGCAACCAATAGGAAGTCAAGCGGTTTGTATTGGAAAGCATAATATATACCGTATTATGATTTAAGTGAATATGAAATTAATGTGAAATCATTGCTTCACTTAAAGCTCGAGTCCAGTGGCGAGACATTCAATCGGAATCTCAAAGATCTCGTAAAACGGATGTCTCGACGAATGTCACCATTAAGACCATTAACTCAGAGACTGGCAAACGAGTGGACTCTTCGTAAAGACTAACTTATCGCTCATTCACTACAAAATTCATTTGTCTTTTCATTATTATCTCTAAACTGTATTTATAAATCCCAAAATTATTGTAAAATACTACAATTATAAACTTTTCTTAAACTAAATATTAGTTAACAAATAGATAAGAAAAAGTTTAAAGTAATTTATATAAAAAACATTTATAGATATATTTAGTAAATTTTGTTTTTATAAACTTCACATTATACATGTAATTAATTGCATTTAATTATAACCTTGTGCATAATTAGGCTATACAGTGAATTTCAAACCAAGTGAATAATTGTCTTGTAATTCATAAATTTATATGATTTATGTAAGAAATATAATATTCAATTGAATATGAAATTATATGTCCAAATGTTTGACAAATCATTCATATTTGTAGTACATGTTGTCAATTGTAAGCCTTAATTAATTCATCATAAACCCAATAATTAACTAAACTGTCAATCAATTCAAATCAAATGAAACTATGGAAATCCCAATCAATACAAATTCATATGCAATAAGTTTCACATTATATCACGTTTTATATGAACTCTTATAGCTTTCACTGCATTAATAAATAACATAATTTAGTGATCACTACATAAATGAAGACAACATTTCTACTCCCCTTCCCATTGAACTCAATGTAAAGATTTCTCAGTAGTTTGGGCGCCAATAGTGGACCCATAGGCGAGTCACGTGACACTCAATACGGCCACCATTTAGGTTACGGCTACTTAACGGTTAGCAATGGTTTCACAAGACATTTGGTGATCAAAACCATTCACTACTCATACGATGTCTGAAAGAGGCAGAGGAAGAGGTAAGTGATGTCTGGCAGTGAAGTGAATCCATTTGTAAGCCAATTATCTCTACATTCAGGGCGAGGAAAGCGATCGCCAGTTGTGGACACACCCACTGAGCCCACGGATGACACCGACTATCAATTGGGTGACAAACCGGGCGCTTATGGCAGAGCCACTGGTGATGACAACGGCGACAATGATAACAATGTCCTACAATTGGCGCAATACATGGACGCCATGTCGGCTGGCGAGTCGCCCGCCATTAGGTCCACCTTAAGGTCGGTGTCGGTCACGAGCAATGGTTCCGGCGGTGATGTCGAGGCACTCATTAACGCCAAGCCATTGATGCCATTGATTGACATGAAGTGGACTAAACAGTTGGCTAAACGACCGGCGCTTTCCGGCACCGCCGGCCGACAGATGGGTGTCATCGCCAACCACTTCCGGCTGACGCTCAAGACGTTGTCTGTCTATCACTACGATATTGAGATCAGACGCGCCGTACGTACGGGCGATAAGTTTGTGACAATCAATGGGCCGCAGGAGAAGA